TGACTCTAAGTTTTAATTATTTTAATAAGTGCAATTGTCTTTTCTAGTCAATGTATGCCATGCTTTTCATGCTTGGGAGCAGAAACAAAAATGAAAATTAAAAAAATGTGTTACTCAACATTCACAAATCTAAACAGTATAAAATTCAATTAAACTTGCAAATGATGTTTTTATAAGTTGCAGCATTTTTACCCCTGAAGCGATTAAAATGGCAGATAGACTTTTGGGATACCCTGTTTTTGAACAAGCACCCTAAAATACGGTTCATTCTGTATTTATTATAAAATTCAGTTTGGTTTTCGTTTAAGTGACTCTGTTTTGATCATTTACTGGCTTCTTTGGCCAGTAGGTATCCTTGAACTTATCCCAAGAAGCCCCCTGCCCAGGGCCCATACTTTAGAAGGTTCTCCCCTCTGGCTCTTACCTGGCTGCAGTCGCCACAGTAAGGTGAGGAGTCCATGGGACTACATCCATCGTGCCCCTTACCTCCAACTCCACACCTCCCCAAACTTTGTTCTGAGTGTCCAGGATCCCCAAATTCCCTTCCCAAATGGGAAGAAAGGAGGAGCGGCAGATCAGGGCCTACCTAGAAACCAGCTCTGCTTGTCCCACGACATCACCCATGAGTTTGAACCTAGCCTCTCTTGTCATTACGAAGGTATTTGTCAAGATAGGGAGGTAGAACTTAATGTACTTAATAATTTGCTAACTTAGTTTATAACTTGTACATATTTAGGTATCTGGTATATGGGCTTCTATTTGTACTCTCGTCCTGGGCCCTGCAAATACTAAAGGTGGGCTGATCTTGGCCTTAAAGGAAAAGTCTTTTCCCACCAACAGATTTTTCTCCATACAGAGATAGGTGGGTAGAAAGTACTTCCCATACATAACATATGATAGCGAACGACAGCTGGAGTCACTGAGCCAGACCATTCACATGTAGTTTTCCATTCAGTCCTCACAACCACCCAATGAAATAGTACTTAGGAGAAAGTTGAGATTCAGTGACATGAAGTTAATTTGTTCCAGGTCACAATGCTAGTGCTTCAGTTAGCTTTAGTTGCATAATAAACAACCCCAAACTTAAAATGGCTTAAAACAAGGAGGACTTCTCCCCTGACTGTGGGGGTGGGAGGTTCTCTGCTGCTGGCTTCCCCTGGCTCAGTTCTGCAGCCGCGTTCAGCTGGGCGTGGGCGGCAGGAAGGCTGCCATGGCCTCTCTCACTCATCTGGCAGTTGACGTTGTTGTGGCTGATAATGATGACCTTCCTTTATTTCGTCGAATCTACTTGCCATTGCAACCTCTTAGCTTTTTTCAGTCCTTGCTCCCCCTACCGTCTGGCTCAGTGCCCAGCACCTGGCGCTCGGTGATATTTAATAATACGCACTCGGGTCACTCACCAGCGATGTGACCCTGGATGTAACCTCTTTAAGTCTCAGGTCCCCACTAGCAAAATGGGGATAGTCACCCCACAGAACACATCGGGTTGCTGTAAGAGCCCGGTGCGGTGATGCAGGCAGAGCACTTGGCACGGTGTGGCCACTTGGCGTACACTCACTCCTCGTGTGATTGGAATGCGGACGATCAGTGGTGAATGAGTGCTGCCTTTTTAAACAGCGGGAGTAAAACACCACTTGGTTTCCGAATGCAAACCCTGCTCGCAAGTACCAGAGTGGAGAAATAATTTCAAAATGCAGGGTTGAAAATCTAAGACAGAGATTTTAAAAAGCGAGAGAAAGGAATGAAAACAAAACAAAGGAACCAACCAACCTGAGTTGCACCACATCTGATCTTTTAATAATCTTTAAGATTCCACCCTGGGGCCGCTTGCTGCTTCCAGGTTGGAAACTGCTGACCGGGTGTGGCCAAGTTTCGGGGGCCGGGAGGTGGGGACAAACGTTTGGCCCAGGAGGATCTGGGTCATGTGAGGCCCGAGGAGCGCTTAAAAGCACAGGTTCTGCAGGGTCCTGCCGACTGGGAGGGGCTGCTCACTTCCGCCCGACTTGGGAACCGCAGCAGCGGCGGGTCTAGGTCTGCGCGCACCCCGCGGCGCGTGGGAGCACCGACTGCGCAGCGTGAGTGCCGCCCGCCCCGCGTGCGTCCCGCGCCCGCAGCGGGAGGGGTCCTCGCTCCGTGTCCCGGGCGCAAGGAGCGCGGGGCGAGTGGTCTGAGGAGCGGGAGAAAGCACCGTGGGGTGGTATTGGGGCGGAGTGGTCTCGGCCCCGACTTTCACGTTGGAATACTGGGGATGGTCTGGGGGCGCCCAGCCGTGTGGGGGCGGGGACACTCCTGAAAGTTCCCAGCACCTGCACGACCTCAAGTGTTTGCACTCGGGGTTCCTCCAGTCCAGAAGGCGCCCCCTAGTCCAGGACCCCCTCCAGGGAAGTGCGAAGCTGTGGGGTCCTCTATCACTCTTAGTGCGGGGGAGGGGTTGCGGGGAGGGGGGCGACAGGACACATCCTCTTCCTCCTTCAACGCATCTCTTTGGGATGTTTGATTTCGGGGGTGCAGAAGAGGAGGAGAAGCAGAAAATGCCTTCCCTTTGAACTGCCCCAAGCAAGGAAACCTGGCTCGACTAAAGGAAGGAAAACACAGCAGGAAGGGTATTATTCTTGGAAGGTAGGATTAGGGGGAAACCAGGGGCACAGGAGACAGGTAGAAGAAACTGCCTGAGAAGTGGATTTGGTCCTTGTGGGTCAGCCTGGTGTCACGGCGGAAACAAAAAGGGGCCGTGATGTGTATTTATGAATTCAAATCCCAGCTCTGGTCTTTGCTGGTTGGTGACCTCGTGCAAATTATTTAAGCCTCAGTCTCTCCATCTGAAAGATGGGTATAATGACCAGTTTTTCTTTTAAAATGCAGAATTGTTCTATTAGAAATAGAAATTACATATAGAAAATACTTTGCCCAGGGCAGTGCTTGGCTTTTCAGTTAAAAGTAATTTTTCTTATGAGTTACGAGTTATGATGAAGTCTATGGTGAAGACAGAGCAAGATAATGTGTAAAACTCTGGCCATATAATGATTGTGGCTGTTCACGGCCCGTGTGCAGTCACCTCTCAGTCCTCTCTCTAGCTTTTCTGCAACTCCAGTGGGTCTTAGTGCAAGGGTTTGGGAACCACACGAATCTGCTGGGATCTTAGTTCTAGTACCTGCCACTCGGGCAACATTAGGAGTATTACTTTTCTCTGTAGCCTCAACTGGGGAAAGAGATGCTCAGTACTTGCCCTCCGCCACCTTTTAAATATACAACTACTTTTTTCTTTTTTTTTGTTTTTTGTTTTTTGTTTTTGAGGCAGAGTCTTGTTCTATCACCCTGTCTAGAGTGCAGTGGCATCATGAAAGTGCACTGCAACCTCATACTCTGGGCTCAAGCAATCCTCCCCCCGAGTGGTTGGAACTATAGGTGTGTACTGCCACGCCTGGCTAAGTTTTCTGGTTTTTTTTTTTTTTTTTTTTGTAGCAACAGGATCTTGCTCTTGCTCAGGCTGGTCTTGAACTCCTGGCCTCAAGCAATCCTCCCACCTCAGCCTCCTAGAGTGCTAGGATACTTTTTTCTTTTATTGATGTGGGATGAGTAGGAACAGAGATGTAAAGGTAATTTAAAAATCCACTGAGAATGCATTTTATTAACTTGAAAAATAACTTACAAGATAGTTGTTCAGGCCTGGCGAGGTGGCTCACACCTGGAATCCTAACACTCTGGGAGGCTGAGGTAGGAGGATTGCTTGAGGCCAGAAGTTTGAGACCAGACTGAGCAAAAGTGAGAACTCGTTTCTATAGAAAACAGAAAAATCAGCTGGGAGTGGTGGTTCTCACCTGTAATCCCAGCCACTTGGGAGGCTTCAGCCCAGGAGTTTAAGGTTGCAGGGAGCTATGATGATTCCACTGCACTCTAGCCCGGGTGATAGAATGAGACTCTGTCTTAAAAAAAAAAAATAGAGAAAGTTGTTCAAAATAAGAATTGGTGTACTTTTTGGAAAAGTACACTTCCCTGGTTTTGCTGGCATATGAAAGTCTGTACAGTTGTCAAGACTTCTGAGTTGTTTGGGTATTCCAGATATGTACCCCATACTAAGGTACAGTGGAAACCCTTTATAATGTACTGTCAGTGTTCTTAGCAAGAAGCTGTCTTATTTATCTTTTATAGGAGTTGATTGTTTGGGAGGGGCATAATTGGACTTACAATTTATGTGAATTCAGCTTATAAACGGATTTACAGTGGGATTCTACTAGGCTGATTTTATAGCCTGAGAAATAAATAGGTTTTGACTGATAGTTTGAATGACTTAGAAGTGTGTTAAGAAAGTCCGCTGGGTTTACTGGTTCACTCTCTGTGAAAAAATAAAAACAAGAAGCAGACAGCATGACAGTATTTTTTAAATGAGATTGTCTTTGTTTCGGGAAGCATATAATTTCTTAGAGAAAAGACTTGAGCGTTGACTACTATCCTGGTATGCACAGAACTAAGACAGCCAGAGAGGAGAGGCTCAGCTGTGGCCTCAGATAACATCATATACTCTTTCATTAGCATCCAGATACCCACGGTAAATATGTAATGACCCATTTTACTAGGAAGTGTAGTTCATTTTAAAAAGCAAACATGATGATTTTAGTGTAACATTTCCAATGGTTTTATAATGTGGGGTTTTCATTGGCTGCACTAAGAACATTTAAAAGAACTTAAGTAGGGGCCAGGCACGGTGGCTCACGCCTGTAATCCTAGCACTCTGGGAGGCCAAGGCGGGCGGATTGCTCAAGGTCAGGAGTTCGAAACCAGCCTCAGCAAGAGCAACACCCAGTCTCTACTATAAATAGAAAGAAAACTAATTGGCCAACTATAGAAAAAATTAGCCGGGCATGGTGGCGCATGCCTGTAGTCCCAGCTATTCGGGAGGCTGAGGCAGAAGGATTGCTTGAGCCTAGGAGTTTGAGGTTGCTTTGAGCCAGGCTGATGCCACAGCACTCACTCTAGCCTGGGTAACAAAGTGAGACTCTGTCCCAAAAAGAAAAAAAAAAAAATTAAAGTGGGAAGCTTCTCAAAATTAGAAAGATAGCTCTAGAACAACGAATTGTTAATATCTATATTGACTTGGAAGAGTGGGAAGCTGGGCAAAAAGCTAAGAACTATACTTCCTTGGTCAAAATGAGGAATGGAGTTTGAATTTTAATGCTATATTTGCAAGTGCAATGATTTAAGCCATAATAGACTCAGTTCACAAGGTGCTTTCTTCCTAAAACCTATGCTCCAAAGCATGTCTGAACTGAAACCAGAGTATTGAGGTTTCTCTCCCCTTGGAGATATTGTAGGTACAGCCTTGAACACCAAATCACATGCTTTCCTTTTATTGCTTTAACTCAGAACCTGGAAGATGCCATGGAGGAGGAAGGGGGACAAAGACTGTGTCCTTAGAGCTATTAGCCTCACAAAGCAAATTCTTAGCATCGTACCTTTCCAGCACAGTTGGGACTTACCTCTTAACCTTTTCTCTGTAGTCTGATTCTAGTCAGTGGGTGCCTCTAAATTGCTTGGGGTTGTTTACTGGCCAAAATATCTATTTAGGCGCCCCGGGGCTAGCCCTTCCTCCTTTCCTCTTTGGGACTCCATATGCCATTACTCATTTTCCAAAAATAACTCTTAGCATGTCATGTTGCATCTGTATAATTATCTGGGGAGGATGTAACCCAGCTCCTAAGCAATTCATTCTCTTGTCCATTTATTAACTTAAGTAATATTTTCCCCAGTGTTTGATTATGAAAACATTCAAACATTCAGAAGAGTTGACAGAATTTTGCAGTGTGTACCCCACATAGATTCATTCTACTGGTATTTATTAGTTCTTATGATTTGCCTGGAGCTTTGCTTAACAAATCTGTAAAAACATAAAGGGCAGGGTAGAATTGGGGAATGGGGAAGGTGTGGATTTGGCTGGAGAATAGGCTTAGAGTTTGTGAAGCGATCATGTGATTTGGGTCTGGAAAGTTATGTTGGAGTCACATTGTGGAGGACATTGAATTTCATGGCAGGAAGTTTATACCTTATATCCTGGTTGTAGCTGGGAGCCACTGAAGGCATTCGAGGAAGGTAGTGTCTTGTGTTTTAGAAACCTCATTCCAGCATCAGTATTAGGCTGAATTGGAGTGAAGAGGACCTGAAGTCTGAGAGATGTGTTAGGAGGCTTTGAAAATGTCCTGGGGCAAGGGAGAGTTGAACCGTGGATAGAAAGGATTGCAGAGAGAGCAAAAAGGAAGAAGGATGGCACTTATGGACGATCTGACACGGGGACTTTTGGTTTTAAAGCTCAGACATCTGCAGGGATAGAGTGGTGCCATCAAAAATCATGAAGTCAGAGAAGGAGGAAGTTTGTGGGGATGACAGTGTCTCGTTAGACTCTGTGGGTTTGAGGGACTGCTTGGTTATCCGTTTGGAGGTGACAACTGAGAATGAGGATATTGTCCTGAAATGCCCAACAGCAATGTCGGGACTGAACAAACATGGGGACAGGCAATTAATGTTGAAGGAGAAGGTACAGAAGGAGAAATAGAAGGACAAGACCTTGAGGAAAATCTGAATATACAGAGTACTTGGAGCAGGTGTTCAATTATCAGTTACTGTTTTCATGGCTGTTCTATCTACAGTGTTATTGTGGCCACAGCTGTCCCTAACAACTTACAACAGTCACTAACTAAAAAGACATATCCACGAGAATGGAGTAGAGAAGGGCTCTCCCATTCCCATTGATGGGGATAAGGTGAGAGAGGGGGAAGGAAGAGAGAAAGTCACATAATTGTTATCTCAGACTCGTAGAGTATGCAGTGCTTATTCCATGTAACCCATTTCCAAATAGGAAGCCAGGTAATTTAATGAAGTTGTTTACCTTCTCACAAGGCAGTGCCTACTGAATCTGGGAACCACGACAACCTATCCTGATGGTGGCCCTGTTTTCCAAACCACACCTCAGCTGTGACACATATTCCGGATCCACAGTCACGAAGCCTTTATCTAAATATTTAGCAACCAACACTCCCCTTTCCTTTCCACTTTGATACCTTAGTACATGCTCCGTGTGCTGAATGGATAAACGTTGAGCTCTGTAAACCCATCCTATTATAATTACCACTGGCAAAGTGAGGGAATTTGGAGTTATTTGGCATCTGCTCTGTTGCCAGGGACCAAGGCCTCAAGAAAGTGAAGGCAGGGACTGTTCTTTGTCTCTCCACAATACCTGGCATGAGTTTACATGTATATTCATAGAATGTCATGTATCCCTCCCTATAACAATGAGAGGTAGTGTGATTCCACTGAGAATGCAAGTACTTTGTCTGAAGGCACAGAGTTTCAAGTGGCAGAAGCCACATTTGAAGCTGTGAGTACATACTTTGAATTCTTCATACTATCCCTTCTGGGCTGCACTGCCTTCCCAAATACTACTGACAGTATGCCAGGCACTGTGTTAGGCGCTTGCACAGGTGGGTTCCTTACTGTGACCATGTTGGTTGGGAAGGATGGTAAGCCAGGAAGCAAAACACAAAATCACACAATTGGTGATTACTGGTGGGATGTCTGCCCTCTGGTCCTGTTTTATTTTTGCCCAACTCCTTGAACTTTGCAGGAAGGACCAACCTTTCCTGGACATGCCAGCCCCTAAAGTTGATACAAAGGTCGTGCAACCTTCATACTTCCCTGCATTTAACTATGGCTTCATTAATTCTCTTTAAGATCATACCTTCAATCCTCTGCTGATTTTTAAGGGTGAAGTAGAGAAAAACTCTAATTTTTGCTATTTGTTTTATTCCATCAATCTTCTGTCTTTTACACTGTCCCATTTGTGTGCATAGTGAAGGTCACTTTTTGCTTTTTCCTTATTTTCCTTCTATTATGAGTCTTTGGAGAGAGAGTGGGATGGGATACGGGGCCTGCAGCGAGTTTACCGCAGTGGACGCTGGTAGCCATAGGAATTGTGCTCTCTTTCCTCAGTGCTTTGTCCTGAAGTTAGAAGGAGCCAGTTGTACAATAAACAGTAGGATTTTTGTTGTGCGTGGGGTGATCATCCAATGAGAACTTTAATAAATGTATATTTGGCAACTGGAGCAAAACCTGGAGTTACTGGTTTTCATGCATGTCTCTCTCTTTTTCTAGAATGAGGGCTCTTTGAAGGCAGGCACCGTCCCTTTTCCATCTTTGACTCTCCCATAAGTTTTAGCAAAACGTTTCACCTGCCAGTATATGCCTAGAAAATCTCTGTTAAAGAAGACAAAACTATTTGCGTAGAAAAGAATGTGGCACAGTCTGTTCATTTGAATGGTCCAGAAATGTGATTATTTAGTGCTGAAGGAGGGTAGACCGATTGCAAGGAAAGGCCTGGCTAGGGAAAAGCCCAACAACTCTTTAGTTGAGCAGCAAAAAAATGCAAAAAGTTAAACAAAGAGAAGCCATTCTGAGGCGTGTGTGGACCTTATGATAATAGAGTTTATATTTGAAACAAGGGGAAAATGGTAGCTAACTCTGAAAATGAGAAATGTTCCTGCCTGGGTTGCTTGTTGAAGAATCTTATTAGCAATCAGCACGTGAACTGGAAATAATTTGTTTTGTTTTGTTTTCTTCCCTCCTAAGTATTGGCGTGTTTGTAGAATAAACTTGGCTCGCAGGAGAATGAACCTGCTGTGCTTATAGTTAAGAGGGGCTTTCTGAGCTGGCAGACAGCATGCTCGAGGTGAAGCCAAGACTCTTTCCACCGATCACTGTACACGCGCACCTGAACTTTGGTGCAAAAATCTGAGATTTTTGTTTCAGAGAAAATTTGCTGGAAGCCACTGATTTAGAATTTGTCGATAGGGTTGACAAGGTGAATTTTTTTTTAAAAAAAATCTATTCCTCCAAAACATGTAATTGAACCAGTTGTGTAGCATAGACAAACCTTTTTGAGGTTACCGGCTGGTTCAGGGTACCCAGAGCAGGCATGGAAGTCCTCTCATCAAGGTAGTCTACGCGGGTCATCACTGCGATTCAAAGCCTGCCGCAGTTTTATTCCAATCCTGTTGGCTGCTATTTTAGAATCCTAGAAATCGCAAGCTGGGAGGGATGTTGAGAATTATACAGTTCACCTAATCTCCAGGATTTATAAATGAACTGAAGTCCAGGGGAAGAAGTGAATTTACTTACCCAAGGACTGCTGGCAAAGTATAAAGGCTGGAACCACATACATGCAGAATTATGGCAGAGGTTTTCCTGGTTGTCTCGGAATAATGTGAGAGCCCTCAGCCATCCTTTGTGCTCTGGCTTTATTGTTTCTTCCCTCTATATTTTATGGTCTCCTAATGTTCCTACCTTTTCTCAGTATACTTCAAGTGCGATGTTGAAGCTCTCTGAAAAAAGACCACTAGGCGTACGTTTGTAATGGCACAAAGTTTTCTTAGCTTACCTGCAGCAAACGAGATACGTACCGAAGGGATCGAGGAGGTAGAAAGAGGTCTATGGAAAGTCTGGCCTCATGCAGAGTGAGTGAAAGGAGGGTTCAGGGGAGAGAGGGCCCACTGCACTGGCAGCTGCCAGGTGGCCATGGCAGTTCAGCAGTGCCTCTCAGCAGTCTCTGTTCAGGAGGTGGTAGGGACAAAGTGATATCGCTGGTAAAGAAAAAAAAAAAACCAGAAATCGCTCAAAAGAAAGAATTGTCAGTCATTTTACAGCTGCAGTGTGGCCTTGGGTACGTAGAAACATTGTCAGTGTTCTCTTGGGAACATCTCAATCTAATTAGCACCAGAGCTGATTTTCATTTTCACTTTCTCAGGTTCTCTCTCCCTTTCTCTCTTTCTGTCTGTCTGTCTGTCTCTCTCTCTCTCTCTTTTTCTCTCTCTCTCACACACAGACACATACACACCCCAATGCTAGCTGAAATCATGGCAAAATCAAGTAGTGGAAGATTTTTGTTAATGGTACTACCCAGCCATCTAAGTCAGATCTGGGAGTTATCCTAGATTCTTTGTTCTATTTCAACTGTAATATATCACTATTTGCAAGCTGCTTTCAACGTTACCTTCTAATTATTTTCAAATCTGCCCTGTCCACACTATTTCTATTGCTCTGTCCTAGTCCAAGCTCCCATCATCTTTATTCTAGATTGTTGTGAAGAATATTAGCTGGTCTTTCTGCCCTCTGTCTTTGTAGCTTAAGTCCATCCTTACATTATGGCCATAGTAGTGTTTCCAAAATGTAAAGCCCTTGAGCAGTTCTTGGTCCCTAGAGGATGAAGATAAAGACTCCCAGCATAACCATGAAACTCCATGACCAACTCTCTACTGACTTCTCTAGACTTCATTCTTTTTCTCCACTTCCTACTTGTGCTTATATCCTGCCTCTGTATTGGTTATCTATTCCTGTGCAACGCATTTTTAAATGGTATAAATTCCATGACCTCTCTGAACAGGAGCTACAACAGCAAATGAGTATAGGAGAGACGCATGTGAAATGGAGTTAAGGTCAGGGCAGGAAATTAGTTTGGAGATTTGCAATAGTCCAGGCAAGTGATGCTGAGGAACTGGATTGGGCCATGGGAGTAGGGTGAGAAAGGGGAGGGTGGGTTTGAAACACATCTGGGAGCTTCAGTTGGCAATGGGTTGGCTGTGGGAAGGGAACAAGAGGGAAATAGATAACTCAAGGAAAAATCCTGGGTTTTTAGCTTCAATCTGTGAACGGATGGGAGTATTTCCAACCAAGAGAAAATAGAGAAGTAAGGACAAGTTTAGGGAAGAAGATAATAAGTTTAGTTTTTGAGTTCTTCTTAACTACTTTTGATTATTGTCAACATAATACATATACATAGGCAAAAAGCCAAGTAATATTATAATTCTCACATTAAAAAATTTCAGTTCACTTTTCTATCCCTTCCATCCTTCCCTTATCTCTGAGACCTCCTCCCTACTTTTACCTGTTTCTTCTAGCATTTGTTTTCCAAACTTAGAAGGAATCTGCCTACTTGTTGATTTATTGGTTTGAGAGTCATACTTTTTATTTGAGGTAGTTTCTATTGACTTCTTTTTCAACAATGTTAAAATTTAGCACTTTAATGTAACTTATTTCCCAATTTTCCTACCCTACATCCTGTTCAAATGGTGACAGAATTTTCTTTTTCGCTGAATCAATATCTGATGTTTATCTCGTTATGCAAATATTGCTCGCTGCTCAGCCAACTAGATATGCTTATAAAATTGCATTCATTTTCTTATACAGCTTTATTGTCTTCAGTGAGTCAAAAATTGCCTCCTCTTGGATTATTCCCTTTTCTCTGTCACTCTGTGAAGACAGCTGTCCAAACTTGCTGACGGAACTGTAATATCCTTATTGATATGATTTTTTTTCACAAAAATTCATGCATGCAGTACTCAGTTAAAGTTTCTTCTTCTTCTTCTTCTTCTTCTTCTTTTTTTTAAGAGATGAGGTCTTGCTCTGTTGCCCAAGTGGAGTGCAGTGGTACCATCATAGCTCACTGCAGCCTTGAACTCTGGGGCTCGAGCAGTCCTCCTCCCGCCTCAGCCTTCCAGGTACCTGAGATTACAGGCACAAGCCACTGCACCTGGCTATATTTCTTTCTTGAGGACTTTTCATGTGGACCTCTCTGTCTTCCTGCTCCAGTCTGCACTGGTGGCTCTTTTAGGCATAGCTGTCATTCTGCCACTTCGTGTCTCCTCTCTCCTGTGCTATTAATAGCTCCCAGTACTGGGATTCCATGGCTTCCTCTTTTTTGGTTTATTTCCTTGTTTTGGTGGGCCACATCCGCCAGTGGCTTTCCGAGAAGTGGTTCATGCGGATCAGTTTTTAAAATCTTAGATATTTCTGAATATTTCTTTAATTTATCCTCACATTTGGTTAATACTTAGGCTGAGTATGCAATTCTAGTTTGAAAACCATTTCTCCCAGAATTTTGAAGGGATTTTTTTTACCCCAGTATCTTTTTACCCCAATATCTTTTAGCTGCTGGTGCTACTATTGAAAAGTCCAATGCCATTTCGGTTCTTGATTCTTTCTCTCTCTTTCTCTCTCTGGAAAGTTTATGAGAGTCACTTTATTTCTGGAATCTGTTCCTTGTTTTCATACCTTGACCTGGGAACTTGGCAGTCCCTTTAAATCTGGAAGATCATGTCTATACCTTTGCTACATGATTTTGTACTATTTCTTTATAATTTCCTCTCCTGAATTTTATCTACCTTCTTTTTATGGAACTCCCATTAGTCAGATACTGGTCTTCTGGAAGCAACCTACTTATTTTCTTTTTTTTCTCCTATTTTTTACAGTTCTTTTCTCTTTCAGTTATATTTTCTGTGCAATTTCTGTGACTTTATTGCCCTGTCCTTTTATCAAATTGTTAAAATTTCTATTATCATATGTTAATTTTCAGGAGTGTGTTCTTGTTTTTTTATTCTCTTTAAAAACAGCATTCTGTTGTTGAATGAATGCAATGTCTTCTCTTCTTTCCTTAAAGATACTTTTGGTTTTTGAAGCATTATTCTGCTCCATACATTGCTGCCTTCTCTCAGTTTTTATGTTCATTTCATGTCTTTTGGATTTTCTACCAATTTGGAGGCTTTCCTCAAATGTCCAGTGGTTCATTGCAGTTGACGTATAGATTAAGTATGAGAAACTAAATTGATGGTTGGACACTCCATCGTGTTGAAGGGACATCAGTTCACTGTCTCCCTGGAGTTGATTGCTGGGGTTCGAGACATTTCAATAGAGGACCTCACATGTCAATATGTGTAGGTTCTTCCTCTAAGAGGATTCAGTCATTACAGAGAAGAATCCTTCAGTCTCCTGCAAAGGATGAAGAGTGGAGGCGGATAGTCCTTGCTGCCAACTTTCATATCAAAGAGTGTTCAAGTGGCTGGGGTATGTCGCTGTGTAGACTTTCAGTTTTCAGTTGGTGCCTCTTCTTTCACTGCTTCTTATATTTTCACGTCTAGAGTGCCTCTGCTTAAATTTTCCAAAGAACACCTTTTCCCCTGTCTTCTGTTGGGAGGGAGACGGTGGGATGAGGGAGGGGCGGGGGAATCTGAGGATCTACATGCTGTTATAGACTCTCACCAATCCCTCTGTTTTCAGCCCATCTTCCTTTTTGCCTTCTGTAGTGTCCAGGACTTGGCATTTTTGAGCCGTTCTGCAGTTCTGCACTGGGAATTAGCTTGTTTCTCATTTATATTCTGCTGTCATTCTCTGCAAACTGTTCGCTTTCCATCTAACAACAATAACAAAAATTTGATCTGCCTCATTTGCTGTTGTCTCTCCTATTTTCTTGGGCCATGGAACTAGTACATTTTTTTTTTTTTAAAGTCTTTACTCTCATTTTAGAGAGGTTTCATGAGGGAACAGAAATAAACAAATTCTGTTCAATTCACCATGTTTCAGCAGAAGTATTAAGTCCCATTTTGACATGTTGAGTTTAATACACCCATGGGACATCAGGTGAAAATGTTCAGTGGGCAGTTGGAGAGATGGGCCTGAAGCTTTTGAGAAGAGCTATCACTCCGAGTGTCAGCAGAAAGTGCTCGTTAGAGAGATGAGACCACCCTGCAGAGCATGTGGAAGTGTGGTAAGCTGTGGACCAAGGAGAGGCAGAATCCTGGGAAACCCGACATGTAAGGGGAAGGCATAAGAAAAGGGAATTATCTATGTAGGAGAAAATTCTAGAAGATCTATGAAAATATGAATTATAGAAGAATTTCTAGGCATTGATAAATTTACAAAAGGGATAATACCAATGTGTAAGGAAAGTCAATAAAGACAATGCTTTCGAATTTGAAATTGTGGAGATTATTAATGATTTTAGCAAGATGGACAGAAGTCAGAATCCAGAAAGTAAGACAGTAAAGACAATGTTTTTGTTTTTACAAACTGCTGACAGAAGCAATGAGAGAGGGTGTTTCAGTGGCTTAAGAACCAGTCTGTGGGCTTTTTCTGTTGTCTCCATCTTGGATACTGTGCATGATTGATTTTAATAGACTTGATGATGGGATGCAGTGACTTTGTTGGCTTTTGATTAGCCCTGGGAAGACATTTCAGTTGGTTTGATTTGAGAGATCATTTCTCATGCCCACTTCTCACTTACCTTTCTGGGGCTGTTGTGGGGAAGCCAGGCTGTATAGGACTTTAAATTCTTGATGTGGTAGATGAAGCTGATATTATTAATCAATTTCCTACATGATGAAATGTTTGCAGGATAATACAGACAGTGGAGAATAGTGGTGACATTTAGAATACAGCCTACATTCATTCTTCGAAATCTCTGAGGGAGTCTGAAACATAGTACCTCTTCTTCCTTTCCTGAGTTCTGAAGAACTTGGGAAATTAGACAAAAGAGCAAGGCAGGTGGAGAGCAAAAATTCACCTTTATTACTGCAGAGAAGCTGGGTTGGAATGGAGCGTTTACTTTTGGGCAGTGGCCTTCCCATGACTGAAGGCCAGAGTTGAGTGGACTTGCCCAGCAATTCATAGGCCCACATGGGGTGAGGAGAGAAGACCAGCCTTCCATATGGGACTGGAAGGGTGGTGAGCCCCATGTGACCACTTTACACAGAGGTACTCATCTTCTTGCCTCTGTGTCTATCCCTCTGCCATTCCTCTGTCTTGAGTAGAGTGTAAGTCTTGAAATCTGGTAGACTGATTTCTCCAACTTTATTCTTCTTTTTCAAAGTTGTCTTAGCCATTTAAGTTCTTTGCCTTTCCATATATACTTTAGAATAATCTCACCTATATCTACCAAAAACTCTTGCTGGTATTCTGATGGTAACTGTGGTAAACTCGTATATCATTTTGGAAAAGCTGACGTTTTTACTATGTTGAGTCTTCCTATCCAGGAACACAGTGTGTGTCTTCATTTATTTAGATCTTTGATTTCTTTCATCAGCATTTTACAGTTTTCAGCACACATGTTTTAACTCCTACACATGTTTTATTAGATGTATACTGTAAGTATCTCTTCTTTTTGAGCAATTGTAAATGGTATTATGTTTTTAATTTTGGTGTTCATATGTTCATTGCTAGTATATAGAAACACAATTGACTTTTGAATATGTATCTTATATCCTTATATCCCCCGGGCCCCACCAGCGGTGACACTGCTGGACCCCTGCCACATTGATGGAGACATCCAGAGCTGGAGGGGAGCAAGGCCCTAAAATACATGGTGGCTTTCAACACCCTGCATGATCGGACACCTGATCCCACTGTGTGCCACTTGACCTTGATCCCACTGTGTGCCAGTCATCGCTGGACTCCAGCCACACTGGCTTCTGTCTTCCTTGTCACCTGTCAAAGGCCTTTGCAGTCACTGTTCTTGCTCCTGGAACTCCTTCCCAGGTAGTCACATGGAACTCTCTCCTGTCCCTCAGATCTGCTCATATGTCACCTCAGAGGGTCACTCCTTCACCCCTCACTCTGTATCTCATTTACTCTGTTCCTTTTCTTAATAGCTCTTGTTTCTCTCTCTTCCTCATTAGAGGGTAATCATGAAGGTGAACACTGTCTCTTTTGTTCCTGTGCCTACACTAGAGACTGGCACACAGTAGGAAGCTAAGGATATATTAATATTCATTCAGTGACTGAGCACATGGTCCAGCCAACTTGGAGCCTGTCCCAGCTCAGCTCCTGATTGGGGAATCATCACTTGGCAAGGGGTGCAGTCAGCATGGGCATCTACTGAAGAGCTGCAGCCCTTTCTGCAGTGATGGTGAGGGTCTAGCCAGGCGTGGTGGCTGACGCCTGTAATCCTAGCACTCTGGAAGGCCGAGGTGGAAGGATTGTTTGAGGTCAGGAGTTTAAACCAGCCTGAGCAAGAGCTAGACCCCATCTCTACAAAAAATGGAAAAATTAGCTGGGCATGGTGGCATGCACCTGTAATCCTGGCTACTTGGAAGGCTGAGATGGGAGGATCCCTTGAGCCCACGAGTTTGAGATTGCAATGAACTATGATGATGCTGTTGCATTCTAGCCAGGGCGAGATAGTGAGACCTTGTCTCAAAAAAAAAAAAAAAAAAAAAAAAAGGAAAAGAAAAGAAATGAAAAAAAAAAAAACGAGTGATGGTGAGAGTCAAATGAGACAACTATAGAAAAGAGCTGAGGAAAGTCCTAGAATAATAGGAAAGTATACAGTGGTTGCTACTACTACTAATGGTAGCTGTTTTAGAATCAGAGAGATGTTTCTTGTCACCTCAGGGAGTGACAGTTGAGCTGATGACATTGCAGGATTTACTGGGTTCATACTCATATAAATTGTCCTCACCCATTGTTGCCAATCTTAACTTTGTATTTACCACATTATGTATCCTAATTTTTTAAAATTTGAAAAATTTAGTTATAATAGGTGATAAAAAATAGGATGGTTCTAAAAAGAACAGGGCCACAGTTATTCGAGCAAAAATAATTCAACATTTCTTAGTGGAAGACACTGCCTTTGTCATGAGATTTTAAAGTCCTGAAAGATAGAGAGAGTCACTTACCCCCAAAAAGTTATTTTCAAAACTGAAGGACATGTAACTAGAAATCCAGTATGAAGCAGTCTCTCCACCTGCGATTTTCACTTCTTTGCAGATAAACATGCCTTCAAATTACTTACAATTTCAGTACCTCTGAATCCTGCAAATCGTAAGCCAAAATAATCCAGTTTACTCGGAATTCTGTTTTCATCAAAAGTTGTATTGAGGCAGATTTTGTTATATTATGTCATTTTTATAGTGGTATACAGAAAGTATATGGACTTTGGAATCATCTAGAGATGGCTTCAAATTCTGGCTTTACTACTTAATGGCTGAGGCGGGCTTGAGAAACTTATTTAACCTGGGCTTTAGTTTACTCATCTGGGTATGTGTTATATGAAGCTCTGGCCTTAGGCCTTGTCTAAGAATGGCGTCCAGTCAAAGAAACATGTGCCGTCCATTAGCGAAAGGCTCTGAGATGCTCTGTAACAAGAAGCCCATTTAATTTTTATTTAACACAGAATTTCCCAAACATTTTTCCTTATAAAATCTATTAATATCTTGCTGAACTAGTATTCCATAAAGGACCTGTCGGCAACCCTGGCTTACAATAATGCCAGACGTATTTTACATAAGAAACCAATTTAGCTTCCCTTTTCCGTTTTATTATTTTTTTTTTTTTTTTGAGACAGAGTCCTCACTTTATTGCCCAGGCTAGAGTGAGTGCCGTGGCGTCAGCCTGCTCACGGCAACCTCAATCCTCGGGGCTCAGCGATCCTCCTGCCCAGCCTCCCGAGTAGCTGGGACTACAGGCATTCGCCCACATGCCGGCTAATTTTTTTTTTTGTATATATTTTTGTTGTCAATTAATTTATTTCTATTTTTGGTAGAAGACGGTCTCGCTCAGGCTGGTTCGAACTCCTGACCTTGAGCAATCCGCCCGCCTCGGTCCAAAGTGTAGGATTACAGGCATGAGCCACCACGCCGGCGTTTTATTATTGATCATTCAGAATTTTCACTTCAAGGTGGCTGAAAGCAGAACTCTTGGGCTGTTGAACCTTCACACGCTTCATCCCAACCTCCCATCATGGTCCTGCCAGTCATGTTAATTAGCTTCTGGGGGAAGCCATGACAAAATACCACAATCCGGGTAACTTTAAAAACAGAAACATTGCACATTAGGAAGTGACAAAAGAAAAGAAAGAAAGAAAGAAAGAAAGAAAGAAAGAAAGAAAGAAAGAAAGAAAGAAAGAAAGAAAGAAAGAAAAAGAAAGAGAAAGAAAGAGAGAAACGTACTGTCTCCTAGTTCTGGGGGCTGCAAGTCCAAGGTCAATACGTCAGCAGGGCCGTGCTCCCTCTGAAGCCTATGGCCTAGGCTCCTTCCTCACCTCTGCTAGCTGCTAGCTTTTGGTGTTTGCCAGCAGTCCTGCTGCTCCCTGGCTGGTAGAGACATCACTTCAGTCTCTGCCTCTGTTGTCACATGGCCATCCTTCTCCCTCAGTGTCTCCGTCTTTCTGTGGCATTTTCTCTGTATTTCCCTCCTCCTCTTTTTTTGAGACAGGGTCTTGCTCTGTCACCCTGGCTAGAGTGCAGTGGCATCAGCCTAGCTCACTGCACCCTCACACTCCTGCACTCAAGCGATCCTCCTGCCTCAGCCTCCCGAGTAGCCCCGGGACTACAGGTGCACACTGCCACGCCCGGCTAATCCCCTCCTCTCCTTATAAGGACGTGTGAGTTGTATTGGATTAAAGTCCCACCCTACTCCAGTACGACCTTATCCTAACTTAACTAGTAACATCTGCAAAGACACTGAGTCCAAATAAGGTTGTATTCTAAGGTCCTGGGAGATAGGGCTTCGACATATCTTTCTGGGGGACACAGTTCAACCCATAATAATCCATGCAGTCACGCAGGGCACATAATTTAGGCATCATCCTTGTTTACTCTTCCCTTTCCCTCAGCCGTTAAGTCTGGTTTATTAGCAAATACGGGTGGATCTGCCTTCAGAAAACGTGGCTGACCATTTCTCATCAACTCCAGTGCTGCCCCCTGATCTCTGCGGGCTATGACATCGGCCTCCTTATTGGCGTCCTGGTTCCATCCTTGTTCTCCTAAAGTCTACTTGCCACATAGCAACCAGCGTGATCACGTCACCATGTAAATCAGGCGGTATTACTCCCTTGCCGAAAACCCTTCAGTGCTCTCCCGTTATGATTAGAATAAGATGCTGACACATGTGAAGACAGCTGAGCTGTCCGTGTTCTGCCCTGTCCATCTCACCGTCCTCATCCTGTGCCACTCCCTCCTCCGCCCATCGTGCTCCCACCAACCGACAATAAGCACACTTCTTTGCACCTCAGGGCCTTTGCACTGTTCCCTCAAGGCTGGCTGCTTCTTCTCAGCTCATCTACCCCGAGATGTGTTTCCTGACCACGGTTATCCTGAACACTAGCCCACCCCCATCTGGCAGAGACCAGAGAGTGTTCTCAATAGTTAGTCATAAAGCAAAGCTCTCAGGACACAAAAGGAGACACACAAATGCTGGCGAGGATGAAGAGAGACAGGAACACTCCTGCACTGCTGGTGGGACTGCAAATTAGTACAACCTTTGTGGAAAAGAATTTGGAGACACCTCGAACAGCTAGAAATAGAAATACCATTCGACTCTGCAATAGCATTGTTGGGCATCTACCCAAAAGAGCATAAGACATTCTATTATAAAGACATCTGCACCCGCATGTTTATAGCAGCACAATTCACTATTGCAAGGTCATGGAAACAACCCAAGTGCCCATCAATTCATGAGTGGATAATTAAAATGTGGTATATCCTCACAATGGAATATTACTCAATCCTAAGAAATGACGGTGAGCTAGCACCGTTTATGCTATCCTGGATTAAACTTAAGCCCATTATCCAAAGCGAGGTGACACAAGACGTGGAATATGGGCTCTACATCTACTCGCCATCAAATTGGTACTGACTGATTAAAACTATGGTTTTCAAATGGTGGCAATGCTCACCAGGGATTGGGGGGGGACCCAATCTTAGGGATGTGGGGAGCACTTCAGAGGGGAAGGGCATAACTCTAACCCTTCTTAGGGAGAGCCAAAGATATACAATGTAACCAAAATGTCAAAAAAACCCAAAAAAAACAACAACTTTTTATCGGGTGGTGGGCAGGCTCCGGGAGGGGGAGGAGGAAAGGGGTGTAGGCTTCCATAACGTGTGTGGTGCACACCACCGGGGGATTGGACACATCGTGGGGAGGGAGGGGGACAGGGGCAATATTTGTAACCCTAACAATATTTGTACCTCCATAATATGATGAAATAAAAGGAAAAAAAAATAAAAAGGAGACACACGGGAAAGAAGTAGCTGTCCCTGGGAGGGAAAGGATCAGTAACTGTTGGGTACCCCCAAACCAAATTTACACGAGCCACAATCCAAACACATGGTTTTTCTCCTGCAAATCTGAATTTGCAATGGAAAGGAAATTCTTACTTTCTACTCTCTATGGGTACTAGTGGAAGAGATTTGGGAGAAGCGAGCTTGGGAAAATTTTTTAACCTTTTGCCAGCTTCTGGAGCTGGTGGGGTGTGTCAGCTACCCCATGTTGGCTCTCAGAAACTGTAGGGGAGAAGAAGAATATCTTTTCTTTGTCTAACACAAGGTTCATGGCTGAGACCCCTATAACAACAGCAACAACAACAAAAACCTGACTAACAAGAAAAAAAGCATTAAAAAACTATTTCATGTAAGTGATGTAGAAACCTTCAGAAATGAAGACGCAAAGACCCAGGGAAAACTGTATGCTTTTAGGGACAGTTGTGCAAAAGCATGACAGGGGGACAAAAGAGGACGATGCAATAGCAATAAATAAGCAAGGCCTGCTTGTTCGGATCCTTTTCAGTCTCTGTGTGACATTCCTTCTCTCTGGGTATAGGGCAGGACCCCTCTGCAGTGAGGGGCTTATGACCTACTTTCAAGAGCAGTAGGTCAGAGAATTCTTTTATGGGCAGCTCTCAGGAGGAAAAGATGGGAAAAGGTCATAGAGTGGCCTTCCCGCTTTCTTCTGTTTTCTCAATTTTCTTCAGCTTAAAATACTCAGTATGCCAAAATGCCATAGTTTGGGGTATCATGTTCTGAGCCCTGATACCTCAGTTCCCTGCTTCACCACCTACTAACTGTGTGGATCTGAGCAAGCAACTTAAATTCTCTGAGTTGCACTATCTCCTCTATGAAATGGGAAGAATATACTACCAACCTGGTAAGGATCAGAAATAAAAAATGGAAAGCAATTAGCACAGTTTCTTATACAGATGAAGTGTTCAGTTACTCGTAGCTATGACTGGTGTCATTCTGTGATGATGCCTTTGATCGTGGGAATGGACTTTCTCTTTCAAAACTGTTAATAATACTTTAGGGCACGTATGTCTACATGTTACTTTCCATGCCTACCCCCAACTCAAATTTTCCTGCTGGTTGGAGTGAGATTTCAAGGGGCAAACTCCTTACCATACTGTCAGATGTTATTTTCTTCTTTTCCTGATTCTCCTAGTTTTCCGCCTGCCACATCCCTGTGGTTTGTGTCCCTCTCCTGCAAGGCCAAGGATGTGGTGGCAGAGATAGGGACGACTAATTCATCAGAGAAACTAGACACGGCCGTCTGATGCCAGAGGGTCAGCCTGTGCAAAGGAGATAGGCATGTAAGTGTCAGTGCCACTTCTGCAAAAGGTTGCCCTTTACTTTGTGTGGCATGTACTATGTCTTCCCTGGGGAAAGAGTGCTTCCAATATCAATTTCAGAAGTTAAAATGCTATCTTAAAGAAGATGAATAGTGGATCCCTCAAAATAAAGGTTTTCTTTTATCATTTCAATTTTTTGGGCATGGAAACCCTTTAGTAAAATAGATTTGGGGGTTTTGTTGGTATTTAATTCAGGGTTGCACAATATCCCTTTAGGGCAGGATTCAAATGCTCAGGATCCACTCAAATAATCTTGAAATGCAACTGAATCTTTTTAAGTAGCAGAACCACTTTCTCGGACCTTTCTTTTATTTATTATGGATTTCACAGAAGTGTCTGTTACTAGGGTTGGCCTGGGTTTTGTTTTTATTATGTTTTTATTATGTTGGAAGTTATAAAGCTACTTAAATATGTAAAGGAAATCAAAGTAACTATTTAGATTGCAGCTATAATGGTTATTGCTTGGTCGAAGGGGAGAAGATAAGACTGGTTTAAATGTCTGTTCTTTGTTTCTTTGTCCACATTCTGGAGTTTTTGTTTTTTATTCTTTCTTTTTTTTTTCCATAGAACACACACCTACCAGTGATATTTTCAGGTTTCTTGAGGACTTGCCTATCTAAGTATGGTTCTAGTTGCTTCCACACAGAGAACCACTAGGCAGGATTTTCCCTTTTTGTCTCTTCTTTGGTCATTTCAGTTGGAATTGGAGTGTGAGCTGATGGAAAGTGTTGTCTAGCTCATTTTGAAAATAATGAAGATGAAGCCAGTATGTGCAGATAAATGATTAACAACCGGCTCCCAGGCGGGGGAAGCCCTGATTCGTGGTGTTTGCTGATTCCTGTGGTGTAAATACTACACCAGGGCTGATTTCAAGCGACCAACAAGATTATTCAACACAGTTGGAAAAAGATGCACAGAAGACAACCATTATATAATCTGTCCACCAGACAGATACAAAATACATAACTCCAGATCATGGGTAATACTTAAATGTGGTAAAATAATTAGGAAGTAAGTTTTGAGTATTTTTAACCTATATTGTAAAATATGGCTTATTCAGTGTTACATTTTTGTAGTTTAATTTTTAACAATGGCAGTGTTGAACAGCTTGCTGTTAAAGTTCCTGCAAATTTAACCATCAGCTCTCTTGTGCTGGCTGTAGCATACCAAGTGGGACCCAGACAAGTTGCTGCTTTGCCCAGGGTCCACAGATAAGTCATGGCAGAATCTGGATTATTATGGAGCTATTTCTAAAAACCAAAGTCCTCTAGAAAGACTTATTTATCACAATAAACTTTCTGTTTATTCATTTATGTCTTTACTGTATCTTCTAACAATCCATGAAAAGGATTTAAGACTATTACAGGGTGTTATTATCTATCGAGACAATAAGAGTCAGATTATTTGAATATAATTCTAACCAAAGCTGAGAGAGTGGAAAAGAGATTAGATTTAGAACCATAAATAAATTCTGGCTTTGAGTCTTGGCCCTGTGGATCATCAATGGTGTAATCTTGATCAAGTTAATTACTCCTCTGGTTTCAGTTTTCTAGTCTATAAGATGAAGGTATTGGACCACATGAAAGTTTAATATCTTGTGTAGGTCTAAAATATTACGGTTCATTATTTAGATACATCAATTCAACAAATATTTGATTAGTACCAATTATTTGCATTATTGCTATGGGCTGTGTTACTCTAGGCAGCATTAAATACAAATATAATAATAACTATTATTATAACAACATCTCACATTTATGCAGAGCCTTCTAATTTACCAAAGAGAAAATTTACTTTGAGTCTCTGAGGTTCTGTGGCTTGAGGAGGTCAGGACACACCTTAACAGAATGTTAGAGAAAGAGGAAGCTATTCTAGAATAACAAACAGAACCTTTTTCCTAGGAAACCCAAGAGGTCACAACCAGGTAGTGATAAGGAATAAGGAACAAGCATTTTTTTTTTTTTGCCATGTCTATCAGTTGCTTCACTCTGTTTTAAAAAAGCAAAACAAAAACTATTTTTTTCTGATTATAAGATTAATTGTTATAGAAAATTTATAAATTATTAAAAAGTATTAAATAAGGAGAAAATATCATATATCTAATCTAGTATCCTGCTTTTCTTTGCCTCATATTTTATCATATTTTTCAAAATATTCTCAGTGGAGTCATTTTAATTGCTGTATATAATTCCATGTTTTTGGTGTGCAGTAACTTAGTTATCTGATGTCTTGTTGTTGGAAGTTTAAATTGTTAACAGTCTTTATTATTCTAAAGAACACTGTGATAAATAGCTTTAATATCAAAAAATTATATGTTGGACACATGATTTCCAGCTCTAATATTTAAGGTCTAGTAAGACAGTTTCAGCAAATCATATACTTTTGACCTTTAGGTTATTTGATTCTGCCAGCATTTGTATAAACCTAGATTTTATTCCATTTTTAAACATTTATTAAGAGGAACATTTTCCTTGAATTCTTCAATATGATATATTTGAACTGGAAATAGCACCGATGTTTTCATATTTTTTCAAGTAGATATGATGAAGTGTATGGTTAATAGATTTTTTTTTCTCTTTCTAGTAGATAAGCTCTATGGAGATAGCCTCTATCTAGTACACGGTTTATTGGCTTAGAAAGTGCTTAATAAATTTTCAGTAGATGAAAAGATTCACACTAATGCAGGATAAACAAAAACATTTGAGAAGGGTGTTAAAAAAACCCCTACTTCTCCATTCATAAAAGCAGCTTTCATTTTTATTAGGAGAGATGACTGCTAAGCACAGTTCAGGGATTCTGACTGTTACAGGAGAACTGTGAAATAAAGTACAATGCTGCTTTAATTCACCTACATGGGAAACTCTGACTCGAATAGTTATTTGATTAAATGTTAATGAGATGTACTAAATTGACCCAACTCTTACTTTTATGTATTAGATTTATGTCAATTAAAACAAGTACCCTTAGTAATTAAAAAAAAAAAAAAATAAGACCTGGTTTACCCCTTTCTTTTTTTTTAACATCTTCGAATCAACATCTGCTTACAAGAAAAGTGCTATAGCTACCTTGGTTGTTGAAATGTTAATGGTTTCCATTAAAGGGGGCTGGAGATTGGCAGCAGGAAGATTGAGAAATTGAATGGCATGATTGGTTTCTTGTTTCTGTCCCCAGGAAAAAAAAAAAAACAAAAAAAAACACCTCTTACTGGAAGAGGTTCTGTCTTTCTTTTAATACTGCCTCTTTTTCCTGAACCAGTTAGAAAGTAAAATTGTTGATTTTGAGCATTCCTTGAAAGTAACTATGCTATTAAAACATCAGTGTAACAAGTTTACTTAATTAAATAAAAGTGTTTTAACAGTGCCATAGTGGCTATTGCCTTTGGGCTTCTTGGGAACCTAATTTCAATTTCTAAATTCACTTTATTCTTTATTATAGTCAATAATAGGCAAAAGCATTTTTTTTAACTCCATACTGTATTTGGTTGGGCCTATCTACATTAAGTGTGAGGAATTCTATTAAGTTAACCCTGCAAGACATGCCAAGGGTCATATATATATTCAATCGCATTATAATTATAAACTTTTATCTTATTGGGGAAATGTGGCTGAGAAGCTTTTAAAATTTGCTATAACCAATATTTTCATATTACACCAAATTGGGTTATAATAGGTATGTGGTTAAAAATCTTTACACATTTAATATTTTTAACTTCTTCTAATGGCTTAGCATTTTAAAGCACTGAACATCAAAAGCAGGTGCTATATTTGCATAATTGTGTATATCTTTTTGCATCCAGGAATCTCAGTGAGTGGAGTACTTATTCATTTTATGCATTTTATTTAGAATTTAGAGCTAAGAACTTAGGCGTGCTTAAATCGCAGGAGTGCAGAGTAATGTTATGGCCCTGGTATAGTTATTATCATAATGCCTTGCTTACCAGGGTCAGGATAGCGTGAGGGAAGAGAGGCCCTTGCTTCAGGTAGGAAATCTAAGAAAGTGTCCCCAAACTCAGTAATGAAGATAAATAGTATTTTAATGCAATATTTGAAAAAAAAAAAAACCCATGTAGTGCAGAAAAAAATCTATGATAAAAAAGTCAAAATTTTAGAGGAAGATGGCATCTGCACCTCACTCACTTCCCCCTGGCCCTGGCCCAGATTGGGATCATGGTTCTGGTTTCTCTACTTTCACTTCCTTGCATGAGATGCTCCTTTGAGTCAAATGCTCCTTATCTAAAATTGGTAACAATAGTCCTCACTTTCCTAGTGACAAAGATTCTTTGCTTGGCCAAATTTTAATCAGGCTTCTGAATCTTCTGCTAGGTCCATCTGTGCACTTTCTTGTAAAATCCAGTTTTAGCAAAGAACTCTGCTAAGCCAGTTTACCAAGAACAGCCCGCCACCCCTTGACATTTGATCACCCTCAATATCTGATCAGGCTCCTCAAACTTCACCATCCCAGAGGTGATGCCTTGTGACTCTGGCTGTGTTCTGCAAGAATTCTGTTAGCTCGGTTTAGCCAGGTCATCGTGACATTTGATCTTTCTTCTTAGTAATTTTCTATCCACTGACCCTCACGCTGCTCCTTGGCTATAAATTCCCGCTTGCCCGTGCTGTGTTAGGAGTTGAGCCCTAGCTCTCTCCCCCACTGAAGTGGTCCCTACACCTGTCAACACCCTGAGTAAAGTACCTTATTTTGCTTTAACAAGTATCACCAAATAATCTCTTTAACACTGGTGGAATTATTAGGAGATTCAACCCTGCTAAAAATACCTGAGAAAGCCCACTCTAAATACAATTTACATATTTAATGTACAAGATTGGGTAAATCATCCTATGATTTTATGCCATTATTGCTATCAACCCAGGTGAATATTCTAAGCAAACGGCAAATTTGGAGATCCTTGGAAGGCTTTGCGCTAAAAGTTAGGAGTCTAATTTCTTGAACTTATTTATAAGCACAATAGAGGGATGGACCTGAAGATAGTTTTGGGACTCTTCCTCTCTTCCTTCTTTTTTGTTGTTGGATACAAACTTTGGTGACTTGCAAAAGATAGAGAAGACAACCATTCATTACGTCTTTCTCCTACAAAGGGGGTATGGACACCCGAGGTCTCACCTTTGCTCAGGGGCTTGACCCACCACTGATGCCTTCCCTGTTTCTCTGGTTTCCCTGAGATCCACCCACATGGTATCCACAGCTGCCCTCGGTAAGGCCTTCCTAGGCCAAAAGTGTGTGCTCCATCCTCTGCCCTCCCGTGCTGGTATAATGATCTCTACCACTCATTGGGTGGTCACTTACAGAGTCCTTGTTGTCCTGAGGCTTTCTCTAATCCTCCGTTGAATTTATTTTCCAGACCACATTTTTAAAAATGCCAGTAATTTTTAAAGTTCTGACATTGTGTATCTCTTGAAGAATAACCTCATGAGACTGAATTTAAGGCTGAGCAGGAATTGGGTCTTCACAGTGGTATCCAAGGTCTTTACAAACAGTACATTTTTTGTTTTGTTTTTGACGAATAAATGAATTTCTTGCATGTAAAAGGCTAGGTACATTTTTACTCTTTTGACTTATTTGTGGAATGTTGTTCCCATCCCAGGCCCCGAGGAAGTGGTTGGTGCCATGTGGAAGGTGATTGGTTTGCTGGTCCTGTCCATACTCGGCCCCTGTGATGGGCTGTTTCGCTCCATATACAGAAGCAGCCAGGTTTCCAGGCCACCCACGGGAGACCTGGGACAGCCACTATTTCTTACCCCTTACATTGAAGGTGGGAACCTCAAGAAAGGTACGTTTAATTAAATCAGAGACCATTGGTATACTTTCAGCAGTTTTTTTTTTTTTTTTAAAGCAATTATTCCACAGGATGGAGAGTATATTCTGGTATTTTTATTCAGTTGTTTTATTTTAAATATTAATGATGATATCCTAGATTATAGAATTTTAAAATAAAATGAGAGTCAGTCAGGGCTGATTACGTGGTTGAATCACAGTGTTTTTGTTTATAAAACTAGTAGAGTGCTTGTCCCCCAGTGGGCACTTAATAATGGTAATACTAATATTAAAACTTACTGCAAGTCAGTCACTGGGTCCAAGTATTCTATTAATACGTGAACTCATTTAAACATCTCAACAACCCAGGGAAGTATAGTCATTTTGCAGATGGGTAAACCTGTAAAATCTTTCTGCTTTAGCAGAAAGAGATTGAGTTATTGCCAGAGTTCACACAGACACCAGTAGCTGCAGGCTTCACCCCTAGGCGGCCTCATCCCAGTCACTCTGCTGTGCCTACTCATCAAGCAAGTGACCCACACCTCCTAAGCCTCAGTTATCCCATTAATAAGATGGAGATTTAACAACTTCCCCAACTTGCAGAGATGTTACGAAAATCCGATGAGAAAATGCACATGAAAACTCTTTGTAGCCTGTAATTTGCTCTCCAAATATTATTGTTTGCAAATGGCATTATTTAAGAGATTGTAGCTTTTACTATTCTCATTAATAGGGAAAAAAGTGTCATTTGGTCTTATCAGAGACTAACATTTATGATGTACATCTGCTCTTAATGCTCCTCTTTGCTTTATCACTGTGTATGTAGATTAATGACTTCATCTTTCTGGTCCTCAGTAGTTTTCCTGAACTATAGAACAGTACACGGACAGCTATTCTGAGGAGCTGTGTGCAAAGAGAAGCAGAGAAATGGGGTGGTGGCCAGGGGGAGCAATGGGATGGGCAAAGGGTCTATTAAGAGGATAGGACATAATGTTTGTTTGCTACCGGAAATGACTGGGGCGAGGGTGGGATTGGTTGCGGTGAAGGGAACCGAACCTTGTTGGGGACTGTGTTAAGTGGGCACTGGCATGCCCTCC